CCACTTCGTTGCTTTCTTATGGAACGCCAAGGTAAAGCGCGCTTGAGTTGTATTTTTGTGTTTCTTTGTGTAAGCATGAAAAATAAGAAGAATTTGAAGGATCAGAAAAAAACAGATCCTGTTCTGTTTTACTGTTCAGCTGAGAAACGAGAGATAGAGAGAGAGAAACAGAGTAAAAGAGAAAAAGAGAGAGAGAGCGAGAACGAGAACGAAAGGGAGAGAGGGAGAAAAGGAGAACGTAGGAACCATTGAATACGTAGCTGACTACAATATGTTATTATTATTAATGGTTATAATATTAATGACAATTTTAATAATTACTATTATTATTACTTTTATCATAATGATCATGATAATGATGATAATAGTAATGATAAAGATAATATTGATATATTGAATAATAATAACAATAATAATGATATAATAATAATAATAATAATAATAATAATAATAATAATAGTAATAATAATAATAATAATAATAATAATAATAATAATAATACCAATAATGATGCTAATAATGAGAATAATAAGAGTAATAGCAGTGATGCTGATAGTTATGTCATTAACGATACTAATGATTATGATAGTGATAATTCTAACAATATCATATTAATGATGATAATAATACCAATAACAACGACACAACAAGAACGAGAAGAACAAAAGTAGAGAGAATTATCAACAATAAAGCAACCATTAAGAGAGCTCAGTAGAATTATCATAGTGGACCTGTTCAAACTGTTTTTTCATGAGTTACCGGTTTTATTGCAGGATGAACAACAATTCGCTGAGAATGTTATTTGTTGCGGCTTCACTTGTATTTCTGGCCGTCACCTCAGATGGTGCGAGGCAAGGTCAGTTGGGACAGCTTTTTTTCTTCTCTTTTTTGTATCATTTTTTCTCTCCCGTCTTCTATTTTCGCTTATTTTGTGCATATAAGGATACAAAAAAAAATTAGCACTACTTACAGGAAAACAACAGTCGTATCTCTCTCTCTCTCTCTCTCTCTCTCTCTCTCTCTCTCTCTCTCTCTCTCTCTCTCTCTCTCTCTCTCTCTCTCTCTCTCTCTCTCTCTCTCTCTCTCTCTCTCTCTCTCTCTCTCTCTTCTCTCTCTCTCTCTCTCTCTCTCTCTCTCTTTCTTTCCCACTCTTCTCTCTATCTATCTATCTAACTATCTTTACCTATCTTTCTCTCATTCTCTCTCGTTCCATTTCTCACTCTCACTCTTTCTATCTCATTTTTTTCTCTCTCTCCCCCTCTCTATTTATCTGTCTATCAATCTATCCATCTGCCCATCTATCACTCTTTCTATCTGTCTAACCACACGTACTGTTTTAACCCATCCTTTTTTCCCCTCCCTTTCAGAAAGTTGCGAGTTCAGGACCAGGTGCGTGGCCGCCGACTCCTGCCCCGAACCGACACCTATCGCCTCACCGGACGACTACAATGCGGAAAGGTCCCGGGGGAGAACGCACCACAGCGGTAAAGAGGTTATGCGGGTTGAGTGTGCTGTTTATTTAAAGTAAGTTATATGTGTGGGGGAGGTGGATAGATGCGGGGTTGGGGGTGGGGGTTGAAAGTAGGTAGGAGAGGTTAGTGCGGTGTTTTTAGTGTGGGTTGATGGGATGTTAATGGTATATACAGGTGTAAGTGCATAATGTAATACTATATACAGGTATTGTAATGGTATATACGGGTATTGTAAGTATTGTAGCGAGGGAAGCGGTATGAGAGGAAGAGAGGAGAGAGAGAGAGAGAGAGAGAAAGAGAGGGAGGGAGAAGAGAGCAGAGACAGAGAGATAAGAAGAGAAGAGAGAGAGAGAGAAGAGAACGAGGAGAAGTAGAAGGAGAGAAGAGAAGAGAAGAGAGAGAGGGAGAAGAGGGGGGAGGGGAGGAAGGGAAAGAGGAGAGATGGAGAGGAGGAACAGACGGGAAAAGAGAGAAAGAAATATATATATAATAATATATATAGTATATATATATATATATATATAATATATATATATAATATATATAGAGAGAGAGAGAGAGAGAGATGAGAAGGAGAAGAGAGAGGAGAGATAGAGAGGAGAGAGAGAGAGAGAGGAGAGAGAGAGAGAGAGAGAGAGAGAGAGAGAGAGAGAGAGAGAGAGAGAGAGAGAGAGAGAGAGAGAGAGAGAGAGAGAGAGAGAGGAGGGGGGAGAGGGGGAGGAAGGGAAAGAGGGAGGGAGGGAGGGATGGAGAGGGAGAAACAAACGGGAAAAGAGAGAAAAACAGATAGACAGACAGACAGAGACAGAAACCGACAGACATCTAAACAGACACGCAGAAAGAAAGGGAAATACAGGAAGAAAGAAAAAGAGAGAGAAAGACAAGAACAAAGCCGCAAAAGGTTCACTATATCTAGAAAATGTAAGCGAACATATATTACATTTACATCCACAGGTATGTTGTGACGCCGACCTGTCCAATCTCACGGCATCGCTTCCGGTCTCCGCTTCCGAGGACGCGGTTCTCAA